ATATCTTCAGCTGTCTATTTCTACCGCCTGGGTGAGCACTGGCTTTGTCTAGACTACCTCTTTTGCTAGCTAGGACAGTACTATTACACATAATTTTTCCCATAATGTTATCCCCACAGGGTTCTGGGAAACACCGAGCTGGCGGTGGTCTATTACTTGGCAGTGTGGCTTTCAGGGTTACAGGAAATGTCCGTTGCGTGTTCGAAGAGTGACTTTGTCTGTAAACATGTTGAGAATTAATTTAGTTTTTTTCCAAACCGAAATTCCACACACACGCCATGTTATTGATTCTGTAAGGAGACCCCGGCACTGCTCTACGTCATCATCAAATCAATAGTCTACAGTAGTCATGCGCTATGTTACAGCTAGTGGCCTGCGGGCCTTTGCAGCATGCGGTGAACATCTACTAGTATGGCGTCCAGAATCAGAGCGGATCATCAACCGTCTTCACATCTTTTATTCACTCATACTAGTATGGCGTCCTAGCGTTCCTAAAATCACCGTACTAGACAGGACTGCTCCGCCACATCTATGACCAAAACCACTTTGCGTAAACCATCTCTTATTTATGTAACACAATGTCAGCTGCACATTTTTATTTTTTTAAAGTAGCGCAGAGGTGGAAGGCTTTATGATCAAAGGTGGTTCTTTCTAGGGCTTCAGCTCACAAAAAGTTGCTCCTGTGAGAAAGGCATCTGAAGCGCTTCTTGAGACTGACTCCTCAAAAACTGTGTTTGGCGCCCGTCAATGGAAAGCGAAACCCTTATACACTTTCCATGAATACCAATAGGCTAAAAGTGCAAGAAAGTGTTAGGTTGCTTCGCCTAGCCACCAAGACACCCCTATCAGACCGGGAGAGGCTTAGCAGATGCTATAGGCAGTTCTCGCAGAGTGCAACTTGTCCTTTCATGTAGTCCCTGCATGGACAGACCCGCTTGTGGTTGGGGTGGGACCCCGCGCAGCTGAATAATAAGAGATCGCCTTGAAAGATGCAATGCTTCTTGTTATCATCCATGGACGGGACCACGATATCGTTTGCAACGTCGGAGGTCTGGCATTGAATGTTGAATCTGGGGATGAAATAAAACGTTAACAGGTCACTGTTCTATAATACGTGCAGTGTGGCTATTACACATTGGACATTGTTAAGCAAGGAACCATTGCTAGAACCCCATGTATCTGGTATCAAAAGTTTTTACCCAAATAAGTCCCGGTGAGGCAGGGCGGACAGCGGGCCGCAGCCCCGGGAGGCAGGGCGGACAGCGGGCCGCAGCCCCGGGGCAGTGAATGAGTGCAGCAGGCCATAGTGCCAGATGAAAGCAACAACAAAGTGCTACACAGGGCAGAGCCATGAACAGACCATTGGTGCCCTTCAAATGCGGAGGTGCTACAACCTTTGCTGAGCATGTAAAGAGCCCACTGTCTGGTGGATGCATCTTCCCTGCACTAGTAAGGGGCCAGAAATTATGTACATAGCATCACAAGACAGTTCTGTCTAAACCAAGGTTGGGGAGCTGCCTTAGAGTTGGAACCTACAAGTCACAGGATGCCAGTCTCTTGGTTTTCCCAAACATACACTCAAGTTGCACTTACTTGGCCAGATCTCTGTCTTTGTTAAGATGCTGAAAGTACGAGGGCTCGCAGATGAGCTGATTCTCCTGACAGACTTGCTTACACGACTTTCCAGGTTCTGCAAGTATCACTTGAATGGCATTTAATGGAGGCCACATGACTTGTCCATGGCAGAAATCCTGAAAGAGAGAGACAGCTTAATGACTCACTTGAAGAACTAGGGCTGCAACTACAGACATTCACCTCCAGGTGGCAGTCAAGTGCTAGGAATTCTCAAACTGAATACACTCACACCTAATTATCTCTTACATGGAGGGATTCATGTTTTGGTCTTTAAAGGAGAACTATGGGGTCAGGGCTTTCCCCCATAGTTCTCCTAAGGGTCAGGGGAGGACACAAACTAGCGTTCTCTCGTGACCCAAAGCTCAGTATACAGCGAGCCACAGCTCGTGGTATACTGAGATGCCGCAGCCGGGACGGATCTCGACAATACTGTCTGAATCCACCCAGCTGGCTCTGCCTATCCAGAGGCAGCTCCAGCTGTACCCGCCCCCTCCCCCGTCTGTTTCGCCAGTCAGTGCTGGAAGATCGGACAGGGGAGGGGGGAAATCCCAGCACGAGCCATGAGTGACAGTCACGGCTCTCTGCAGGGACATGATCGAGAAGTGAGCGAGCGATGGTATGTGTTCGATCACTTCCGATCTACTGAGCCGACCTGTGACAGTTTCATTGTCACTGGTCGGCTCAGATTATGAGTGAGTGAAAATGACTCGCCTCTGGAAGAAAAAAGTAAGGGGCACTCCCCAAAGGGACATGGATGGTAAAAAAACAAAAAACCTGACAGCAGTTTCAACCTTTCCTCTTTAAACATACTGTAAATCGCCTAAATCTGGGGGGACAGATGTCTGCTTCCCAGGCGTGCACACCAGCTGAAGCTAATACAGGGCTGTCTGAATGGCCCTGACAAAGTGTTAATTTATGCCGCATTAAGGAGCATGCAACAGGGTCACTCCAGGACGGGTGTAAAAAGTGTCTAGAATTAAAGAGCCTTCAGTGTCGGGTGATTCAGCCCAGCAAACTTCTCCTAATAAGTACCAATTCTGGGTGGTCTGAGCTTTTAAAAATACAAAACATTTGCAACATGTTGTACTGCATTAAAATGCCTGCGAAACAAGGACAACCTAAGACACGTATACCCTAGGAACAAAAACAACCTGTGTCTAATTATATATGCCCAATTAGAGTCATCTCATCATTTTTGGGCTCCAGTTAACAAATAGTTAACCTTCAGCCTCGCCCCCTAAAACTGTATACCGCCTAAGCACCGAGATCACCCCAAACCTTTACACCCCCCAAGCACAGAGCACCCCTAACCTGTATACCCCCAAGCACAGAAAGCATCCCTAAGCTATATACCCCCCAAGGACAGAGTACCTCTAACATGTACACCTCTAACCTGTATAACCCCAAGAACAGAAAGCACTCCTAACCTATATACCCCCAAGCACAGAAAGCATCTCTAACCTATATACCCCCCAAGCACAGAGTACCCCTAACATGTACACCCCTAACCTTTATACCCCCAAGAACAGAAAGCATCCCTAACCCTTATACCCCCAAGCACAGAAAGCATCCCTAACCTATATACCCCCTAAGCACAGAGCACCACTAACCTGTATACCCCCAAGCACAGAAAGCATCCCTAACCTACATACCCCCGAGCACAGAAAGCATCCTTAACCTATATACCCCCAAGCACAGAGCACTCCTAAACATGGAACACCCGTAATCCTTAAGACAATATTACTTTTGTGTCAAAACAAACCCATACCATAGCTTATGAAAAAATTAGATGCCAATATTCAGCACCCCTAAAGGCTGGCACCATAACACCCAAACGTCTATGCTGACCCCAGCTGCCCCCATCCATCACGACACTTGACTTATTTTGCCTGGCAGAACGTTTGCGCTTACCTGTTTCTCAATGAAGGCATTCACCCGCTGCAGCATGCCCTCGCATGTGAATTCAATGGGCAGGTAAGGTTCATTCTGTGAAGAGCAAAAGCCGTGTAACTTCATTTGTCACTTCAAGGAACAATCAGCAGCTCAAGTGAAACTGGATTAATATTTCAGTACAAATGTCGACTCTTCTGTGCTAACAGAGCAGAACCTGCTGACCTGACCAAGTGTCTGGCTTCCTTGAACAACTTATCGCCTCATAAAAGCCAGTATTTACCAAGTATCCCCCGGGGTGGGGCATCTTCTTGGCACATGCACACTGCACGCACAGACTAGATACTTATAAATGTTTTCTGAACAAGCCCTGCCATGCTGATAAAACTATGAATGGCTATTATAAAATGTTAAATGACTGCACATTCTATTGTTGCAAACAATCGTTCAATAAATTCCACCCACTATTACTTAACTTACCTATGCTCCCCCACCCATCTTATTTGCCCCAAATCTAATCCCTCCATCAATCAGACTTTTACATTACACAGGGTTAAATTAATTATTGCAACCCTCATGAAACAGTGTCCAGGCCTGGCACTTGGTGGTGGTGGTTTCATTATTACAACCAAAAGGTTATTAGGAGAACCTGTCACCTTGCCCCAGAGTAAGAGGTCTACTTAGTGCCTGGTTCCTTTTAGACTGACTTCGGTTTTATTGGCTTCATCCTGTGTGGTTGGGGCATTTGCATGACATGGGTTAGGGCTGCAACCAACTAATCGAATAATCGATAATAGTTGTCAACTATTCCCTCCATACCGGGAGGAGGGCACAGCAAGCAGTAGCCAGGTGCAATAGCCAGCCTGCTGCTATTGCAACAGCCCACTACCAGCTGTATTTACATCCAGCCACCGCCTGTGAAATCTTGCCACTAGCAGTTGTCCTTCCCTGAATCTGTATGTGCGTTATAATTAATCGAAATTAATCGATTAAAAAAAATTTCGATTAATCGAACAGGAAATTTTTTATCATTACCAGCCCCAATATATATATATTTAAATAAAGGGAGTTGTGTTGTAGTGCCATTCATTTCAGTAGCACTCCAAAATGCGCCTCCCACCCAGTGTGATTGCACACACTGCAACGCACGCTACAGCAATGACTTGTGTTCCAGTGCGATTGCAAACAAGTGTGCATGCAGTTTTACTCTGAAGTAAACTATGTTTGTAACTGCATTTGGGTATTTTATTTTAAATTAAGGATGGTAATTTTTTTTTAATGCGATCGAAATAAGAATTGGCCAACTAATCGATGAAAATAATGAGTTGCAGTCCTAACATGGGGTGTTCTTTAAGGACTTGTGTCCTAGCTTGGAACACCTATAATAAAAAACATGAAAAGGAGGCGGGGCCAGTAGGATAAACTAGCTACAGGTTAATAGAAGACATTACATCAAATACTAGATCCATATTGATAAACACAGACAGAAAAGACAAGAAAAAGAATCATCATATAGAACCTTTTGATTCAGTATGGCTTTCACCGCCTTCTCGACTTCCTCTGGATTGTTGATGTCCACCGTCCAGACATGAGGCTTGCCGATGTACACTTCAGCGTACGGGTGCTGGGATGTGAGCTGTGACAAAAGATTTTACATACGATAAAGCACGTCTAAGGGTCAGAATCAAAAAGCTTTTTTTTTTTTAGTATTGGCAACAGTGGGGAAGGGTTAGAAGTTTTCTCTATCTTTGTCCCTATGTGTAAGAGTCCATCATTCTAAAATGATGGGTGTCTGACAGAACACGAAGCGAGGGGAAGTTTCCCCATTCTGTGTCGATTTGATGAATTTCAGTACAGGAAGCGAGAGCAAATTTTTCCAATCCAAGTATATTTCATAGGATTCAGTATAGGAAGTTAGAGGACATCTCCCCATTCCATGATTGGATTCAATACATGAAGATAGCCCTGGAATGGGAAAATTTCCCTTAAACTTTACTGAATCCAATCAAATAGATGCGGAATAGGAAGATGATCCCCAGCTTCCTGTACTATAGCCCATCAAACTGGAAGGGGAAGATTACCCCTACTTGATGGGTTTCAGTATAGAACATTATTGAAAAGTGTTACATGTCTATCTTCATGTATTGAATTCAAATAGACATGGAATGGGAGGATTCCTCCAACTTCCTGTACTGAATTATATGTAATATACTTGGAATGGAGAGATTTCCTCCTCAGAAGCTCACTTGATTTCTGGCAGGAATTTTTTTTTTTATGCGCAGCTTTTTAAAGGGATACAACACAAAGGGAAGTGAGCAGTGATGTCATCTGTTCCTAGTAGGGATGCACCGATATATCGGCCGCCCCGAAACATATTGGCTGAATATTGCACTCTTGGCTAAATGCCGAAAGTGCCATTTTCCTGCCGATACATCGGCGCATCCGTGCTTTTCCTCCCCACTGAGCGCTACTCTGTCCCAGCGGAGAGGAGAGAAAGGTGTGACAGCCGGCCAAGCGCTGCGGGAGGAGAGCGCTGTGAGTGGCCGGTGTCTCCCCTTCCACACAGCTCAGCCTCCTGTCACAGTCCGGCAGAGCGGCGGTGTGGGGGCGGAGACAGCGCTATCACAGAAGGCTGAGCTCTGCTCCCTGCTCCTGTTCATTCATAGTTGTAGTTATAGTAAACATACTCTGTCCTCATGTTATGAATGAACAGGAACACTCAGGATTCCTATTTATTGATAACAGGGGATACAGAAAAAGAGATTGAGGACTTTGTGTTCTCAATCTTTCTACTTTAAAAGGGAAATGTCAGGGGTCTGTTTAGACCCCCAATATTTCCCTGAAGCCCCTAAAAGTAAAAAAATCTAATATTTAATAAAAAAATGAATACAAAATATTTAAAAAACGTATTAAAAAAATAAATATATTTTAAAAAATTGAAAACATTTAAATAAAACATTTTTCGGTTTCGACCTGACTTTTTTAAATTTCTGTTTCGTTTTTGACATTTCTATTTCGGTGCACCTATGGTTCCTAGTAAATGGGAAAACCTGTTCGTTTCCAAATGATACAAAACACAGTATCCTGAATCAAAGCTCCAGCCACCTAGGAAAGTGGAGTGAGAAACCGGCACTATGCATCGCAGAAGAACTCACCTCCCGTAGAGTTGGCTTCCCTTTGAAGAAATCTGTATTTCTGCTACTTTTCGGAGGAACAAACTTGGGGTTCAGGAAAGCGCAGCCGTTCGCAATGGCTTCCAGGGGAGCCGGCCCTTCATAGGGGAATCCGAGGCCAACAAAGAGCTGAAACAAAAATAACGCGCTTACTCATGGAGATCGGGGCAAAGACTTTCAAGCTAATTAACAAACTGCTGGAAAAGCGATTTCCTTTACCCTGTGTTTACCATATTTTCTGCATTTCCATCAGGGTTCATTTATACAGCATGCATTCAAGAAGTGTGTGCAACTGAAGGGGACAACAGACCAAGCTTCAGTGTGCTGGGTTTTGTGTAACTTGTATGTGGAGAACAATCACCAGAAAATAAGCAATCTACCACAAGTTCAACTGACCAACAGAATACTGTTGATTGCAAAGTATAAACTGGGCAATAAATTGAAAGCGTCAACACAGTTTACTTAGTCAAGAAAATGAAAAAAACACAACAAAAAAACAAATTTTCTCAAAAGCATTCAGATTTTCCTTGCCGTCAATCAGAACCACTATGAAGGTTTGAACGCTTAATTGCATATGGCTAGCTTTAAAAGGGACTCTGCCATAAAAAAAAAAAAAAAAAAAAAAAAAGAGTTCAACAAAGGGCAGGGTATTAATATGTCCCAGCCCGGCTGATGTTGACTCTGATCTCCTGCCGATGGGAAATCACAAAAGTGAGCATGTGGCAAGGTCATGACTTGGGAAGTTCAAGGGAATAAAGGTCGGCCTCCCGTCAACACATTGGAAGTTTCAGAGTCACCCGGGGTCACAGGCAGACATTCTTCGGACACGTCCAGGTCTGTGCGTGCCATGAACAAAGCTCCGAGTAGCACATGACATTTCATAAAAAGGGACTCTTCAAATGCTGCAGAAGGGAAGTCACCTGAGTGCACACTGTTCTGCCCATCCAGAAGAAAAAAAAAAAAAACACCTGACACGGCTGGACTAAAAATGTAAGCCCAAATCATGCATCTGCCTCTGGCTATCAGAGTCTAGCAATGCCTCATGGGACTTGTAGTTGCATCACAACTGGAGTGCCAAAATTTGCCTACCCTTGAACTGAAGAGTCAACACAAAAGTGGCTTCAACTACATGGCAGTATGGAAGCAGGCAGTGGGGATGGAAATGGACAGACGGAGGAATATCTGTAGGAAATGAGCCTAAAAGGTGTCTTTTGTGCCCACATATCATTAGATATTTTAGTCCTGTACACCCCTGTAGAGACCAAAGCTGGAGTATGCATCCCTGTCTCTATACTGAACACCTAACCCATCAGATGAAAATTTACCAAATTGACACACCACAAGGCTGAAGGCCATCTGCAATAACAAACACCTGGCAAAGTGGGCAGTCAAACTAAACTTTGTAGTGTAGCCCATAAGAAAAAAGCAAAAAAAAAAAAAAAGTATTGTAATTGGTATCAGCGAGTACCTGAGGAAAAGTATTGATAGTTGCACTCTATCTGCAAAAAAATGGTATCAGTGCACAGGGATCCCAACCTGAAAGTAATTTATGGGAGGTGCCCTCTGTCCGCCCCCCCCCCACAGGGGGTTGCAACAAGGGAGCACCCCCCTGAAATGATACCCTGTTTCCCCTAAAATAAGACCTACCCCGAAAGACATAGCACTATTTTTCAAGATACCTGTAATATAAGACCTACCCCGAAAATAAGACCTAGTTTGGTGGTAGCATGTTAGGGGGAACTTGAAGAGCAGGAGAGATGGTATCAGCCTGCAGGGACATACTGTATTAAGGGGATGACAGGGGACTCCCTCCGGCCAGCGCAGTGACAGGGAGCACGCCAGTACCATACTTCACCAACTGCTGTCCCTGAAGGCATTGCTTAATGTAATGTGTACCGGTAAATGGTACCGTACTTTACCGTGCTGTCCACTGTCTGATGTCGTCACTGCTGCACCGCTAGTACCACTGCCCCTGATGGCAAAGGAAGGCGGCGCTGTAGAAAGCAAGGCTGTGGCTGCAGATCGAGCAGAGCCGCATTAGCTGATACTTCCTCTATAGCGCCGGTTACTGTGACAGGTGGAGTGATGCCAGATAACTTTGGATTGTTGTTCACGAATAACTTTAGATTGTTGTACATTTTGCTGCACATTAAAAAAATAAAGACATCCCCTGAAAATAAGACCTAGTGTTTTTTTGGGGGGCAAAAAAAATATAAGACAGGGTCTTATTTTCGGGGAAACACTGTAGCAAGCAATTGTGCTGTAAGTTTGAAAATGACTTGCTAAACTATTGCAGACTTTCCAAACTTCACAATTCTGTTGCACAATTACAGCAAGTCTGCATTGCAAGTCTCCAGACCAACGTGCTTTGCAAAAGTGCTGTAACACTTGCAGAGCTCTTGCTAAGATCTGCAGGACTCTTGCTGTAGACTTGCCAAGCAAATTTGCTACAAATTCAAAACGTGTCAACTAGAACGTGTGCTGCGAGTGTTCTGCAAGTCTACAACTTGCCAGGAATGTGTGCAGCAAGTTACAAAGAATTACAATTTAACCCTGGAACAAGTTTGTGGCAAGTTATCCTTGCTATCTGGGTGCTTCCCTTGCTATCTGCTGTTTTTTTAGTGTTCCGACAGCTGCTGCCGTCAGAATAAAAAACAAACAAAAAAAAAGCATAGGAATGAATAGCTAGATTGCTATTGGCTAGTTCAATTTGCAATAGCAAGCTGGCTATTGCACCAGTCCTCTGCTGCTGTCTGTAAGGCCCCATTCACACACGAATTGGCCTGCACGTACAGCTCCGTACCAAGTAGCTGCCGGGAAGGACAGGTGCTGCGTGTGATTAGAACGCAGCCCCCGTCCTTCTCTATGGGGCTAAGCGGCCGTACGCCCCCCTACGCTCACCTCATTTGCAGGTCCGTATGGGTGCGGGTGATCGTATTCATATGCCGCCGGAATGGATCCTGTATGCGTCCTGGCCAGAAAACCCGCACCCCTACGGACCTGCAAATGAGGTGAGCGTACGGCCGCCTAGCCCCATAGAGAAGGACGGGGGCTGCGTTCTAAAATCACACGCAGCACCTGTCCTTCCCGGCAGCTACTTGGTACAGCCCCGCACGGAGCTGTACGTGCAGGCCAATTCGTGTGTGAATGGGGCCTAAAGGAGGACCTCATGGAGAACTTCAGGTCCACCTCTGTTGATTGATCAGCAGTGGGCGGGTGCAATAGCTAGTCTGATATTGCCTATTTCCATTTGAAATAGCTAATAGCAATCTAGCTATTAGTTTCTATTTTTTTTTTCTTCTGACTGACTATGTTAAGAAAAACAAAAATACAGCAGAGAAAGGTTTACTCTGCTAGATAAAGCAGAGTAAACCTTTGAGGGAAAACATGTTTCTCTCCCGGGTGTCCAGGAGCCACTATCTAATAGCGGGAGACTCCCGGAACATTCGGGAGAGTTGAGATGTCTGCAGTGCATCCTTGATTCATATATTAAGGCTGTATTCACATGGGGTGCTCTGGAGTTCCTGCTGCAATAACCTATGGAGTCTTGCGCCAGGATTCCCAGGTTTCCCTGTTAAAATGCGGCCAATGTGCCCATCCAAGTTAATGCGTGACAGCGTAAGCAATGCAGATGGGGCTGCCAGAGAGTGGGAAGACACGTCCCGAGATTAGGCAGGGAGATCCCCAAGTTGGAAAATCTTCCTGTTGAACAGATGGAGCTTCATATCATATTTACCCCTTAGAAAGTCACAAATAGTGTCATCGCGGCAGGTGTTCCACAAAATAAAAAGCGTTGCTTATTTTTGGCAAGAATTTATTAAATGTGAAAGATCTGCATTCTTTACATCATCCCTGCATCAAAGTATTCCGAGTGTATGCAATAACGTTTGCATACAACAGTGCATTATAAACTATGTTTGATGTTCTGCCCAGCTCTTAAAGCAATACATGGCATTATTTGCACACTATATTTGCTCAGTGTTACAGGGAAAGTGTTCTTTTGATTGGAGAGGAGTGGCAGTGTTGTGATCCGCTTGCATAGCACTATAAGGGTTTAGAGGAGTAAATAGATGGGATTAGTGCAGCATTATGCTGAGAACACACGTTCTATTATTGGTGACAGCACAGCCTGCTCTCCTGTAAACAGTATAATGCACATTGTGACTTTAGAGATCATTGTGAGCCACATCAATGCTGCACGTCACAAAAACCTGACCGCATTCTGAACAGAAACCCAATCTACGGCTGTCCAATATGTATGACATTGTAAAGGCCGCAAAAAATTATAAATAGAGATTGCCAAAGATTCCAGCTTGTGTAAGCCACATCCCCCCGCCGATAATTATACTATTTTGCCTGTTTGATATGAGGCCAGCCCTTTTTAGCTGCACTTTATAGAGAACAATGAACCTTTGATATCTCCACCAGTCCCTAAAGAAGTTTACAACCAAAAGTCCCCATTATACAAAGTATCAAGCATGACAAATAGGGATGCAAGCCCACTGGAAAAAAAAACCCAAAACATATGGGATATGCTTTCTCAAAATAATCTGCATTTGTCCATCCACTCCTGGAATAAACAGCTCTGCCAGCCCAGGAACCCGACTTACCTACTGCAGTTAAAGAAGTAGTAAACCTTCAACAGACATGGCAATAGTGGGTCACCTGGAGGTGTTTTCCATAATGTGTTTGTATGCACATCAGCGCATTATGGGTGACTAGCATAGAGGCGATCGCCTCCAGTGCTGCCATATTAGCCCTTTCTTCCTCCGGAGTTGCTATCTTTCATCTGATCTTCTTCCAGGTTTAGGGTCTCCTGCTTTAGCATCTTTGGGCAGATTGGCCGGGCTGGGCTGATGAAACTCCCATGCATGTGCACAGGAGTTACTTTATTTCGGCACAAGACCTTGCTGAGCTTGGAGCACTGAGTTGCGCATGCAGGTCACCAATCTTTAAGCAACATAGCTGGGTCACCTCCCCAGCCCCTACCTATGACTGGACAGGGAAGGAGCAGAAACAGGCACTTGAGGTCATCCCTCTGCTCTTCTAACAGGTCAGCAAAACTGAATGCAGGACACCCGACTGGCCCCAAGCGCTGCCCTTCTTAGTCTGTGTTGCTGTCCAGATATATAATACACAACTGCATTCATTAGTGTTCCTTATAACTGCCTGTAAACTGGGATAGATGCATGGTGTGTTGTCAAGCCAGTACCTTGAAAAAAGTCAGTATACCCAAAAGTGATATTCTAGCTATAGGTGGAGTCACGTAGCCCAAATCACCCATTGGATCGCACAAGCTTTAGGAGCCCCCGATAGCAGGTTAAGTGTGTCCCTATACGCCATGGAATTCTGGGTGATTTTGATGAATGCCGAGTGCTCTTACTTCCCTTGGTGCGTTCTTGAGTGGGGAAGCCATTCAAAAACAGAGCTGGCAGAGCACGAGCAACGGAAAAACCCAACTTGTTTGAAACAGATCTGAATAATAGGTCATAGAATATAGCCGCTAGGCAAATCAGCGACCCTTGGGAGTGTTAATTACCATCCACTTCCCCTATGATGATACAGGCTATTTTAATACCTAGCATGATAAATAGGAAGTATTCCTGTTATGTTTGCTGCTATGGGAACGACAAACAAATATTTTGGTCCATATTCCAAGTGTTTACATTGTTCTCTCCTACCTAAGAGACTGCAGGCTGTTACAAACCGGGTCCTCAAACCTCGTTGTTTCCTATTGGATGGTATGAATTGTTAATGTGTTTTCTGCATATCCAGATATAAAGTGCTATGCAACATGGAGCCGTATAACTAAAAGATAAATTGTATAAAAGCCTAAAACCGAGCTAAAACTAATATAATCCAATATGCACTAAATACAAGAGAAATGTGTATTCCTACTTCATTCTTAGGGGTCTCTTTATAAACAATTTGCGGAATCATTCACCCTGCGAATCTGTGATCTTTCGTTCTTTGCAAACATTCTTCATATTTTCTTATTTTCAAATGTTGCAATTTAATACCACATTATGGCCACCGGATGGCGCATAGGCACAGAAAAAAGTATGCATTTTCTATTTTCCACAGTTCTATCTAATAGACTTTGAGAACTATGAAGGAAGTGCTTTTCACTCCCCTCATAGTTCTAGCCGACCTGTGACAGACTGTCACAGTTTGGATCAGTAGATCATGAAGTGAGCAAACACATACCGGCGTTCACTCACTTCCCGATCCTGTCACGGCCCTCTGCCCTGACAGGGGAGGGACTGGATTCCCCGGAACGGACGGGGGAGGGGGCTGGTACAGCTGGCTCTGCCTCTAGATAGGCAGAGCCAGCTGCCACTCACGCACCTGGGCGGATCCCGGCATAATTGTCTGGATCCGCTTCAGCGTTTCAGTACACCGCGAGTGGTATCGCTCGCGGTATACTGAGCTTAAGGTGACAGGAGGACGCTAGTTTGTGTCCTCCCGTTACCCTAAGGAGAACTATGGGGAACTATGGGGAAAAGCCCTAACCCCATAGTTCTCCTTTAATGTATTACATTACATTACATTCCAAATAACATTCGGCTTGTAGAGAAAATACACTAGGAATGTTCGTTTTTTCAATGAAAACAGATATTTGCAGGACAAATGGCTCTGCGAATTGTTTATAAATAGACCCGTTACTGTACTTTTTTTTTACAGATCTATGCATCAATTTAGTATGAAACAAATCCAGCACTTTCCTGTAATGAAGACCAGTCACTGCTGCACTCATTCCTAATGCAGAGTGCCCAGTCATGTATCCGCACTCCCCCCCGCCCCCCCCGCCAGGGCCCA